AGATGAGTCTTGAACTCACTACATAGCCCAGAGTGGCCTCCAACTCTTGGCAATCCTCCAGCCTCAGCCTCCCAAGTGCTGGGATGACAGGTGTGCATTCCTATACTTAGCATTTTTTTTTTTTTAAGGGAGGGTCTTGCTAAATCTCTAAATTGCCCTGCTGGGCTCAAATTTATAATTCTGCCTCAGCTTCCCAGAATGCTGGGACTACAAGTACTGTGGATGCTACCATACCCTGTTACGTGCTTTTCTGCATGTTTTTAAAACAAGGCTCTACCTCATCGCATGGGTGTACCTGAGCACAGAAACCCTAATTTTTCATCTTGAAGGTGGGCCTTGACAATGTTACCCTCTAAGTGTCCCCTGCTTACCCCACTCTTTCTGAGGTCTTTCAATTCCAGAACCCAACTCAATATTCCAACATCCTTTTTCCTCTAATTAGCCAGAGTAATTTCCCATCTGTTGCTTGCAACTGAATCTCTAGTTACAGGCATCAAAAATTAACAGCTGTGTTAAGACAGTAACAGTGTGTGCAGAGTTTCTGCATGTCTATGTTGGTACAGCATACCTCTTATGACTTATACCTGCAAGTATCTGGGTGACACTGAACTCAAACTGTAGTCTTTAAAATGGGATTCTGGCACACGCCTGTAATCCCAGTACCGGAGGGGGAAGTAGGAGGATCATGTGACTTCAAGGCCAGTGTGGGTTACATAGTACATTCAGGTCAGGTTGAACTACATAAGCAAGACTACTTCAAAACACAAAACAAAACTAACCAGGTATGCTAATGCACAACTACGTTTGATAACATGAAAGATTCTGATCAATTAATGATATATTCATTCAGTGAACTGTTGTTAAAACCATTTAAAAAATTGTTTTGGGCTGAAGATGTAGCTCAGTGGTTGGATGCTTGCTTTAGCATGCATAAGGTACTGAATCCAATGCTTAATCATGAAAAACATTTTTAAAAAAAATTAGTGTGTAAGGGGCCGGGGATTTAGCTCAGTGGCATAAGCGCCTGCCTTGCAATCAGGCAGTGAGTTCGATCCTGAGTTCGATCTCCGATACCGATAAAAAGACAAAAAAAAAAAAAAATTAGTGTGTAAGGGCCAGGGTATGTTCAGTAACAGAAGCACCTGTCTTGCAAGCACAAGGTCATGAGCTTGATCGATCCCTGGTGCAAAAAAAAAAAAAAAAAAAAAAAATTACTGTTAACTGGAGATAGTACAGTGTTTTCATACTGTTAACAATTTAAAGTGGATCTCTCTGGTCAGTGTGGGATTACAAATTCTTTTTCTTTGTATTTCCTAAATTTTTCTTCCATGAAAAACATCTAAACCACAGGAAAGCAGTTTTCAAAATCTTTCTCTCACCCATATGCAGTTTGCTTTTGTCTGAGATTTGAGACAGTGTTGACTGTTTAGCTCAGGCTGGCATTGAACTCAGTGATTTTGCTGCTTCACGGCCCAAGTGCTGGAATTATAGCACAGTTGCGCCCCACTATGCCCAGCACAGATTTTGTTTTTTTGAGACAGGCTCTTGCTATACAGCCCAGGTTGGTCCTGAACTTGCTATGAAGCCCAGGCTGGTCTTCAACTCACAGCAATCCTTTTACCCTAGCTTTCCCTGGCATGTACCACCATGCCCAGTGATGCAAATTTTCAAACAGGTAACACTACAATAAAGGAAGTCACAGAAGTGGTCAGCTCTAGAGAGACTATTCATTCACTGCAAGATGCACAAGAAAATTTCTGAAGTGCTGGGCGTATCCCGCATCTTGAGTTTAGTGTAATTCTTAGCAAGGTGTGGATTTAAGATTTGGGTATTTTATTGTATGTAAAGTTTCTTTAAAAAATATACACGGTGGGGCTGGGGATTTAGCTTAGCGGCATAAGCACCTGCCTTGCAAGCAGGTGGTTGTGAGTTCGATCCCTGGTACCCGAAAAAAGAAAAAGACAAAAAAAAAAAAAAAAAAAAAAAACACGTAAAATAGAAGAGAACCCTAAAACATTTTTGAGGGGAAAAAGGAAGATGCTCAAGTTCTGTGATGCTGTTTTTCTCAGGAGTCAGGCTGTTGTCAGGGGGCTTAGGCTGGGAAGGACATGGGTGGACTTGGATTTCAGACAATTCCTCTGGAGCAGAAAGCAGGGATGTTCCTAAAACTGCATTCAAAGAATGGGCACCAACACCCATGGCTCCTCCATTTGCTCTAATGTAGGATAGGGATCTGAATGAGGAGGGAAGCCAAGTGGCTGAGTATACCCCAGGAACTATGTGCTGAACCTGACTAGACGCCGAGAGAGCAGGAGGAAATGAGTTATGTAGAGGGTAAAGCAGGGATGGAGGGCGTGCTCAGAGGTCTTGGGAGTGAATCAGCTCCACTGTAGTATAGGACTGTTGGCAGCAAACAGCAAAGTGCGGCAGTGTTTACTACACACATCATCTATCCAATGCCAGCCCTTTACACACTCTGGACAAACAGTACCTCAACTTTGCAAGGACGTACTACTGCAGTCTTTACAGACAAGCAGTCATATACTGAGGACAATAACTGGTTCTGGCTTATATTTAGCAAGTATCAAGTAGTTTCAAATCCCAATTTGACTTTTTTTTTTTGAGACAAGGTCTTGCTATGTAGTTCAGACTGTCTTTGAATATACTATGAAGCCTAAACCCAGCCTCAAAATTCAAGGCAGTTCTCCTGCCTCAGTCTAAGTGCTGAGATTATAGGCATGCACCACCATGCCCAACTCCAAATGCTCTTAAACCATATTTATCTAACCATACAAATTAGGAATAGCAGGACTAGAATTTTTGGGAAATCGTGTATGTAGAAATGGGAGTCTTCCAGTACTGACAGAAAAATACCAGTTGTCAACATCTAGATAATGGCAAACAACAGGTGATAAAGTAGTTCATACAGGTAGGTGGCCTGTAATTCCAGAACTAGAGAGACTAAGAGGATCGTTTTGAGTTTGAGACTAGCCTGGGTAACAGGAGTTCAAGGACACTCTTAATTATATAGTGAGACACTCTCTCAAAAAACAAAACCCAACAATAAAAAACCCAATGAAAAACAAAAAAACAAGAAAACCCACCCAACCAAAAAATATTTACATATTTCAAGCATGTATCATGGGTTTCAGCACCGTCCTTCAGGACCACACACCAAGTGGCAGAGGTGGAATACAGATCTGGTTTGCTGGTGCTAGTTTATGTATGAGAAAATTAGTCACCTCACATTTTATCTCCTTGGGGTCAAGGTCTTACTACTATATAGTTCAGGCTGCCCTCAAACTCACAGTGATCCTCTTCACTCGGCCTCCTGAGGGCTAGCATTACAAACATGTGGCATCATGCCCAGATTTTTTTTTTTTAATTAAAAGGAATCTTCCAGGAAAACCAGGTTTCAACTTAACAAGAGACATTGTAATTCTGGGGCATCATTCTGAGATGGGAAAGAACAGGGCTGTGAAAGGTTCACGAAGAGTGCAGCCTAGCTCATGGGCAGGAAAAAGGAGCGCAGTGGCTAAAAGAGCCATCAAGGTGCAAGTCCATGTGGAGTTCCAACTGTGATGCCAGAGTGGTGTCAAGAATGAAGTGTGTGGGCTGGGGATTTAGCTCAGCGGCATAAGCGCTTGCCTTGCAAACAGGCAGTCGTGAGTTTGATCCCTGGTACCGATAAAAAAGAAAAAGACAAAAAAAAAAAAAAAAAAAGAATTAAGTGTCACACTCTTCCAGTAAGCACAGCCTAAATTTCAACCCCTTCTCTTCTTTTCTTACCCTCATCCAGGGTAAGTCTTTAGCGTAAGGCAACATTACCCAAACACCTATTATGCATTGGTATTTGGAAAAGACAATTTATGTCTTTTCCATTGCAAATGGCCAAAATCATGGCCACAGCCAGGATTTCAAATCATCCGAGTTTGGCAACAGCTTGAATTCTTGATTACACTGATCAATGGTGAAAACTTTATATGCAAGACTCTCAACCATAAAACATTTTAGTGGCTTCTGACCCTACGCGAAAAAAACTCAAGACTGAGCAGATGTTCTAGTTTACATTTATCATATACATTAAAAAGGATGGTGGCCCCTCCTGTGTGGATAAGCAACAGGAGATACTAAGGGTAAAAGCTGGCCAACAAGAAAATCTTGCAATTTGTATTCACAGGAATGTTTTTTTTTTTTTTTTTTTTTTTGAGATGGGTCTCCCTATGTAACCAGGGCTGGCTTCTGGCCTCAGTCTATAGAGCGCTGAGATTACAGGGATGTGATTCACATCCAGGCCAAGAATGAGTTCTTTGCCTATGAGATAGGGTGGAAGAGAAAGGCCCATGTTTAAATGAAAACAGGAGTCACATACTCTGGGAAGGGAATTCCAATAGCTCAGAGTCTATCAGATTAGAATGGACTCCTCTCTCATCACTCCTTTGCAAGACCAGAGCTCTACCAGGAGAAAATAAAAACTGAGTCATAATTGCAAGACAATAATTCAAAATGTACTACCTCAAGAGAACATTAATGACACTTACTGTTTGTCACATTCTCTACCTGATTATTATGATGGTCTCACTGTGTAGTTCAGGCTGGCCTTAACTACACATTTAGCCAGGTTGGCCTGCCTGAGTGCAGACTTCTATACATAATTTACTCTTTGTTAAACCTATCCTAAGGCATATGGCATTAGTTTTATTTACAGATGAGGAAAGTAAAGCTCACGGGATATATAGAACTTGTTTGAGGTCGCAAAGCTGACAAATGACAGTTGTGATTTGATCTCTGATCCGCTTGCTTTTTCTACTGTATCATAGTCTGAATTGCTTTCTCTAGGGACACAGTACAAAATATGTATTTTAATATCTTGCTTCTAAGTGTGTCCTGCTTCTTAGCAATGCAATGACCTGTTCCATCTTTTCAATCTTTTCTTCATACACAGAAAAATGTCTGCCACACCCTCTCCTAGACAGAAAGACCCACAGCTGGTTGTGAAATTTTTGTTATAAAACATTTAATGTTAACCTACAATACAATGTAAACCTTTATGAAAAAAATTTTAAGTACACTAGATTTCTTCAGGAAATTATTGTGTAACTATTTAGGTGCAGTACAACGTGGAGCACTGCATCCTTTGTGGATGGGTTTTCCGTTGCTGCATTTCTTGTAAGTCCTAAAAAAACAACTTTTAACATGGAGCTCCTTGTACAAGCACCAGGTGATAATACTCCCCTGATCTTGCATCCTGGGGTTATCACTCCTTCAGTCATTTCCTGAAACTCTTTTTCTGGGCCTTGGCACCATTAGCAATTTTCATAATAACTGCTCAGTTGAAGATTCTAGGTTCTTAGTTTTTTAGAGATAGGTATTTTCCTCCAGCCATCTCTTCTCCATATCTCATGGTGGAGGCAAGCAAGGAGAAATGAAATATTTGCTGCAGAAAATTCTGCAGAAGTGAAAGCAAAGACCAGAAAGGTCCCACTGAGGCTGCAAAGATTCAACTGACCCCAACTGGGTATCTCTGCTTGGTCATTTCCCATGGTTATTCAGCTGACTCTACAACTTCAGTTTTGGGAGTGTAGAACAAAACTTGAAACAAGTGTTTTTGTTGATGACTTGCCATCTGGAAACAACAGCTGAAGTATCTCAGAGGTGATCTGGAAACAAGAGCGAATGTTTGCTGACTGTTGGCTTCTCAGCTTTTTTTCTCCCTTGCAGGTCCCGTCGAGCTCCCAGAGGTCCTTGGGAGTAACACAGATTGTACTGGTATTAAGTGATAAAATGCACAGCCCATATTACACCTAGGAGGAAGGAAATGGCACCCAGGCAGCAGCACTAGGGGTGGCAATGAGACAAGCAAGGATCTAAGTAAAAGAGACTTTTGAAAGGGACTAGAGAGGGGCATGTGCTTCAGCTGACACCCCTTGAAACCTACAGTAGATAGGAAGGCTGTCCCAAGAGTTGTACTGACAAAGAAAAGGACCTTGTCTTGCTATTCCTGCATCTGACTTCCTTTGCGGAACAGTAGGTATCAAAAGGCAAGAAGTATAAAGTGCACATCATAGAGCAAGACTGAGTTATGAAGGGGGGAAAACCTCACAATATCCTCAAGGAAGTTTGGGCAAGACATTGTTGGACGATCTTTCATGCCCTCCCGTACGTATATGCTGCCAGGAAACAGCTATAAATTACTAATGGGGAAGCTGAAGGGAAAAATTCCTCCTTCCATGGTAGTCATTTAGGGTTGTGGGGAGAATATGGTTTACATGGAGTTCATTTGACATTTTATGACAATAATGAGGTGTGATTTCCCTCCTAGTGGGCCATGGGACAGCAGAAAACCAAGAACCATATGCAGCAGGTACAAACTAACTTTATCCAGGGATAGTGTTGTAAACCACTGGAAAATTCTCACACTCCTGAGATCAGGTCATATTCATGAGGCACATTCCTCTGTCACATGATATTTACCTGACAACAATTGAGGATACAGAGAACAGTAAGCATGTTCTATACCAAGGAGTGGTCTTTAGGTTCTGAACAAGAAAAAACTCCTGGAGATGACAAATCTAGCAAGTTAAGCTTTATCTTGACCTGAATCCCCTTACCTTCACAGCATGCTAGCAACTATAGTGATTTCCAAAGACTGCAGAATGTCAGCCTTAAGCCAGGCTAGCTATGGGACTCTTTGGAATACTTGTAAGCACATACTGGCACCTGTTAATACATGACCTGACCCATGTACACATTACCATAAACTCAACAACAGACCAGACAGCCAGAGGTTAAAAAAAAAAAAAAAAAAAAGAACATCCTGTGACTTCAACACAGCAACAGGGCGAAAGGAAGAAAATGCTTTTGACAGTTTGCTATGTCAAAAAGTGAAACGTGCAACACCTAATGCAGGCTGGGAGTCCTGTCTTGTTTCTTTTCAAGGCTTCTGGTTCTTTCTATTCTTAAAACATGCTGACTGAGAAAGGCAGGGAGCATTCTTACACAGTCCTGCAGGCTCCATTGCTGGTCCTGCGAGCACTTTGCAAAGGCACCAAGCTTGGCAGCTGGGGAAAGCTGCGCAGCACGCACATGTTGGAAGAGGAATGAAGAGCTGCTATCCTTTGGTTCAAACCCCTTCACCACCACCTGGTACAGTTCCAAGGAAAACTGCAGTTGTGTGTCAAGGTGAGTATCCACACATACATAAGTATGATCTGTGCACATAGCCTTTGAGAGGCTACAAACTCAGATTTCCTTCCAATAGTCCGAGTGGGGTGCACAGCGGTAAGACAAGACAGCAAGAGTTGGACCAACATGACCTCTCTGGGAACATGAGAGGGGCAATGGCAGAAATAAGCACAAACCAGCCTGGGCACCTTTATTACACTATTGTGGGCTAAGGAGCCCATGGCATAAACTTATGGGTTTAAGAATTGGCTCTTTATAGATAAAGATAAGAAAAAAAAATACACCTATGTCAGCCTCATTCCTTTGGTCATTACAAAGCAACAGGAACAATTCAAATTATTCATAGGGCAGTTCAAAGAACATCTCTGTTCTGTGCTTTCTTGTCCCCCTCTTTTCAAGAGGTGGGAGAAGGAAGTCCTCAGGAGATGCATCTGTAGCTGGTTGATGGAGGTTTTTCACTTTTATTTTCCATTAAACGAAGAATGAATAAAATTAGTGGGAATGTCCCCTACCCCAGCTGGAACAGTGGATGGGCTGGAGGTGAAGTCTCCATCTGCTGGAAGGTGTGTGGTAAGGAGGCTGGAGGGAGAGGTGGAGCGGGTACTTTCATTGCTAGCCTTGCACACACACAGGTTGTCACTTTTGCAGGCAGCGTGGTTTCTGATCCTTCCTTAGGATGCAGCAGTCTTTTAAAAAAAATATTGTATTATAATAATAATATGAATATCTCTCTCTTTTTTTTGTTTTTTGTTTTTGTTTTTTCCATTTCTTTTAGGGATTGGGGGATGGGAGAGGAGAGGAAGAAAAAGTGTCATTCGTCTGTTAGGTCCTGAACAAAGAGAACTTCTGTGTGGCTGAGTCCCGCCTCCTGCAGCGTAGGGGGATTGGGCCATTCCTCTGAGGGAACACAGGGCAGTACCCGCCTGGGAAAGTTGGCTTCAATCTGAAACTTTTCAGGGCTTTCCTTCAAGGAGAACAAGAAGTCGTGGATTACCTGAAGAAGTCATACAGAAAAAGAATGGCTGTGAGAAAAGACACACATACATCACTATAAAGTCAAATGTGCCCCAATTCTACCCAGCATAATTGTAAGACATGAGGCAGTCACAGCACCCTGGAATTCTACCTTAAGTATTTCCATCTCCCAGTACAAATACAGTAGGTAAGCCCTGTTAAAGAAATTAACATTAGCCCAACAGCACTCCTACTCTGAACTGACTCACTGCCTCTTGTTTGATGACCTGTTTAATACAAAAGTAAAGGTCTCAAACTCTCAGTGATCCTCCTGCCTCAGCCTTCCAAGCGCTAGGATTATAGCTGTGTGCCAACATGCCTGGCTGACACAGGTAAAGTCTTCTTCTTTTTTTTTTTTGTACCGGGGATAGATATCGTGACCTCACACTTGCCAGGCAGGTACTTATGCTGCTGAGCTAAATTCCTGGTCCCATAGGTAAATTCTTAAATGAGACGAGGTAACTTCAGAATTTACACTGCTTACAGTTCCCCTTTATAATTCTTTCCCTTCTATAAGCTCCATTTATGAGTCATTTCTCTCAGAATTGGGAGGTCATAGTGTTCTTCTTAAAAACAGAAAACTGTTTTTACTGAGGACTCTATTTAAAATAAATATCTTTAAAAATTAAAAAAATAAGAAATAGCTAGTTTCCCTTTGGCCACATGCTTATTCTTGTTCTGTCCAACAATTCTAATAGCTTCTTCCTCCAAAACTACTGAGAGAGTAAGTTTTGGTTAGGTTATTCACATACAGAATTTTGGAGGTAGAAACTCCATGAAACTACACAGCGCTAAGATGTACAAACACCAAAATTGCTAGTAAACATGCAAGCTATAATCCACATACAAACCTGCAGTTAGCAAAAAATGGGGAAACCTGAAGGAAATCAACATTTAGTAACCATCTACTACATGCTAGGTACTCTCTGAGTACATTCATACTGTCCCAATTAAAAACTCAGGGGCTGGAGGTGTAGGTTCAGTGGCAAAAGAAGATCTTGTTTGCACACACACACACATTTTAAAAATCCAAAATTAAGGGGCTGGGGATTTAGCTCAGTGGCATAAGCGCCTGCCTTGCAAGCATGCAGTCATGAGTTCGATCCCCGGTACCGATAAAAAGGAAAGAGACAAAAAAAAACCAAAAACCAAAAAACAAAAAACAAAAACAAAAACAAAAAAAATTAAGAGATGTGAGCACTTACCTATAAGGGGAAAACTAAACAAGGAAGTTATTTCTTTCTCTCATCAAGATGATTCAACTTTTACTGTGCATTAGTTCTCTGAGTGTTATATTCCCTACTGGCCAGTAAGTTTCATGAATTTCCAAAACCAAGTCTCACTCAATAGTAGAATCCCTAGTGTCTAGCTGAGAACATGACCTACTCTCAGTTTAAAAGTTACAACAGGGCCGGACATGAAGTTCCATGCTTGTAATCCCAGCACTTGAGGCAGGAGGATCGCTGTAAGTTCAAGGCCAGCCTGGGCTACGAAGTGGCTCAAGGCCATCTTGATCTGCACAGTGAAACCCTGTCTCAAAAAGACAAAAACAAAAACCACCACCACCAACAAAAAACCCACAGAAAGTACTGTAGAGCAGTGATAGTGAACCTTTTAGTGCTTTCCATGATATAAACAGCCTACTGCAGGTTCACCCCCACTGCTGTAGGGCATATTGTATTTTCATTTTCAGATGGGCAATCTGTGATCTGGCAAAAGATTCTATAATGTGTCCAATGTTCGGTAAACAGGAAAAGGGATGACCTCTATCCAGCCTCACTTGACAATAATGCAACATTCATTTCATTCTTTCTTTTTTTTTGGTACCACGAATCGAACTCAGGAGCTTGCTCTTGCCAGGCAGGTGCTGTGCCACTGACCTACATTCCTGGCTCCTATACACTTATTTCTATTGTGACATTGTCTCTTGATTATTTCTTGTGATCAGAGAATCTATCATAGCTGTCATTTTGGAAAAACAACATACCAACTCTCAATATAAACAGAACATTTCTTTTGGTTATGAATACCAAAACTAAGGCTGGGCATGGTGGTTCACCCCTGTAATCCCAGCACTGGGGAGACTGATGGGGGAGGATTGTTGCTAGTTCGAGACCAGCCTGTGCTACAAAGTAAGCTCAAGGCCAGCCTGAACTGCATAGTGAGACCCTGTCTCAAAAAACAAAAAAAAAAACCAAAAAAACAAACTAATAGCATTTGAGTACTTATACTATGAGCCAGGCACAATGTACCACTTGACATGAATTTAATCTAACAACAATCCTATTCTGTGTATCTATTATTTTGTGGTGCTAGAGATTGGCACTCTGCCATTGAGCTAAAGTTCTGGCACCAAGGATCTACAATTTTTTTCCCCAAGTATCTACTATTTTTTAAATCGGTACCAGGGATTGAACTCACGACTGCATGCTTGCAAGGCAGGCGCTTATGCCGCTGAGCTAAATCCCCAGCCCCAATATATACTTTTGTACTAAATGTTTTATTTTGTTTTGAGATAGGGTCTCACTATGTAGCTGAAGTTGGTCTTGGACTCACTACAATAGCCCAGACTGGCCTTAAACTTGAGGTGAACTTCTTGTTTCAGCTTGATGAGTGCTGGGATTATAGGTGTACACCACCATGCCTGGTCTATTATACTAATTTTACAGATTAAAAAAAATTGAGACACTGAGTTAAAACTGACCATAGAAATAGATCTAACAATCCTGAAAAAGTGAGAATTTGGTCCTCATTCTGTGGGACCGTTAAACATACAAGGTAGCCTCAGGAAGTGGGACTTCTTATGTGCTAAATAGGTACTAAGGGAGCGATCCACACTACACTTCACTTATATTCAAATACGTATTTCAGTACTAAAGGAATCTGGTGGGATTCTGAAGCCAAAGTCAGAAGAGAGCATGCACTGTGAAATTCCTTTAGAAGGTGTTTTTCTTTCTTTGGCCAAAACTGAAGGAATTCTCAATTCAGTGTACTCTTCTTAGAGCCTCACCTATCTCTCACTTCCTTGCCTGTTCATCAGATCATCCCAGACACCAACAGTACCCTCAAGAATCTGTGAAAGGCTCTAAATCTACAATCCAGATGCTATGAACTCTTCACCCACTTAAGATGATCCTTACTGTTAGAGACTGTGAAAAGTGAAATCGTCTCTCTACTCGGGTATCATTGGGTAATTTGAAAATGATCTTGACACTTTCAGGGTCATCAGCGGAAGGCTCAGGAGGCAGGCACTCCAACTTCCTTTCTTTTTCCTCCTGTAGGTTCTGTAGGAGATACAAAACAAAGAAGTCATGGCCCAAAGAGGGGAACAGGACCATGTAGGTTTATTTGTACATTTAGAAGAAAATGTAATGACCAATTATGACCAATTACCGTAAGAAAAAACATCTGCCAATATATTATGCCTTTTTTTTTTTTTTGCCACTATATTATTTACTAAAGGTGTCCAGGTATTCAACCAGCTGAGGAAAAAGGGGAATGAAGGAGACTGAGGCTGAGCACCGTCTATGATTTACAAGATTGTAGAATGCCCACCAGTGGCCAGGGATTTAGCTCAGTGGTATAAGCGCCTGCCTGGCAAGCGTGAGGTCATGAGTTCAATCCCCAGTACCAAAAAAAAAGAAAAAACCAAAATCAAAAGAATGTCCACTAACTTTACTGGTACTATGAATAAGGTGAGGAAAATTAATCACTTGCAGTCCCCAAACAGATTTTTTCCTTTCATACTTAAGCAAAAACACAGATGGCAAAGTCTCAGCAGTCTGGGAATCACAGGGAACAGAGGTACAGCCCATCACCTGCCGCCGTCTCTCCTCTGCCAGCTTCTGCTGTTGTACCTCCTCCTCCTTCCGTCGCTTCCGCTCCCGCTCCTCCCGTTTCTTCCTTTCTTTCTCCTGGTCAGCCCTGAGAGAGGCCAGGTATGCCTCATCCTGCTGCTGTCTTAGCACCTGGGTCTGGTTCCTTTCTTCTCTGTGAACAGATCAAAAGGATAAAAAAGAAAACAGCAATTTCACAAAGTTCTGTTTTCTGTTCTTCTTTTGAAAAGACGGAACTGAGGGCCTTGTGCATGCTAGTAAGCATTCTAGCACTGAGTCAGATTCCCAGTCCTATGTTTTCTCATACTGAAAACTTGTAATACAGTAAAAACGTGGGTCTCCTGAGGGAGTCCAAAAGCAGAAAATGGCAGAACCTGAATGAGCCATCTCATCTCTTTCCTCAAATTAATTTGGCAGAAACAGAAATGGCAAGCTTTCCTCTTAACTTTTTTTGGAGACAGGGTCACTTGTGTAGCCCAGGGTGGTCTTAAAATACACAGTGATCCTCCTGCCTCAGCCTCCAGAGTGCTGAGTTTATAACATTATGGTTACCCCTCTTCCTAACTTTTCATAATTGTTTTTATAACACTGTTTTTTTGTTTTGAAGTAATATTCAACATTGCATTTTACAGGTAAATACCCTTTCAGGTTATTGCACTTTTGATTATGATGCTTTAGTCTCTCAGACTATAAAAGATTTGAAAAATCTGGAGAACATGTTATCCAGAATTCCACTAACCACAGGTAAAACACCATAAAATTTTGATATATTTCCTATTTTTTCACCTACAAAGTTTCATTTTCTCTTAGCAAGAACAATGTTGAGTGGACATTCATGTTTATACTTTAAACATTTAGATGAAATTTACAACCACTGAAATGCAGATCTTAAATGTACAAATCAATGAGTTTTGACAAACATAATTATACAATCACCACTCCAATGAAGATAGAATGTTTCCAACACTCCAGAATGTCCCCTTGCTATACTTTCTTTCTTAGGGTCAAACAGACTTTATCTTGCAGTTTTCTAATATATAGTAAGTTTCCCATGTGACAAAAGCATCCTGCAAATTTATGTATAACTTTTGTGAGGACATTTTGTCATTACAATCAAAATATTTCTATATATTTGTATTGTTTAACCTAGGAATTTAATTTTTTGTTTGTTTGTTTTTGGAGACAGGGTCTTGCTATGTATTACAGGCTAGCCTTGAACTCCAGATCCTCTTTTCTCAGCCTCCTGAGTGTACAGACTATAGGTGTCCACCACCACATCAAGTTAAATTTTAGAATAATTAGGTAATGGAAAGCTATGTAATAATTTTTAAAGTAATTCTTAATGGAGAAGAGGATTAGGACTGGTAGGGTGCTTGCTTAGTATGTAGACCTTTGGTTCAATCCCCAGCACTGTAAAAAATAAAACAAAAAAATTTAATGATGAGGGAATATGCTGTGCTATACTACAGCATGTAAAAAACTTACACAACAGTATTAAGCATGAGGTCATGAGTTCAATCCCCAGTAGGAAAAAAAAAGAAATTAGTACCGGGGATTGAACCTGGGCCTCATGCATGCTAGGCAAGTGCTCTACTACTGAGCTGTGTCTCCAGTAGCACCGCCTTTACATAATTTTTATTTTGAAAGAGGACCTTGCTAAGAATTTAATACAAGGAATGTTGAGAAAGTCAGTCTTGGTATTGTCTTCTGTCAGCTGCACTGTCCCATGGAAATGGCCTGGGGCCTGGGACACAAAGGGCTCTTGGAGCTCTGGGCCATGCATCTCTGTTTGGGAGTCTTTCCCCTGTTTTTACTGTGTCATGGAGACTTTATCCTGCATAGGTATGTGGAGTATACGGCACTGGCCATTCCATTGTTGCATCTGGTCCTTGTGAGGCAGGAACAGGTCCTTTACTCAAAGGCAGGAGGGCTCAGTGAGACCCTCTTTATACCTCTACAGCGGGGAGATCAACTTGCATTGCTAAGGCCAGCCTTCCTGTCTTCTCTATGTGAGAAAAGTGTTGCCCTGTTCAGTGTCTATGTGAGTTGCATCTTTCTTGGTTTGCCTTGAACTTGCAATTCTCCTGTCTCAGCCTCTTGAGTAGCTGCGATTATAGGTGTCACCACACTCAACACCACAGAGCACCAAATAAATATATATATATATATATATATATATATATATATATATATATCTCCATATATTTTAATTTATATTCACAGTTCCTGGCTTATACTAACTCCTTCCCCAAGGCAGGTCATAGAAACCAGAATTTCTCTACCCCAGGGTAGGTCATGACTTAATCTTTTAACTACCTATCTACCTTTCTTTCCTTTTTTCGGGTCCTGGGAATCAAACTCAGGACCTTCTTTGCACTTCCAGGCAGGCCTATGCCACTGAGCTATATCCCTGGCCCTCTCCTATCTTTCTATTATTGGTACTGACAAAATGAACTCCTCTAATCTCCCCTTCTCTGATAGTAAGTCATAAATTGTAAAACTTCCATATTTCAGAAGAGGTCCTACCACATGCCCAAGAGGAAGATATGATGAAGAAAGAAAACCCTCAATAGAAAGGCCTTGCTGAGTTTCCTCAACAAGTCCATTAGTTTGATCACAACCATTTTATCCAATCACATTTCTATATGGTTGTCTGTATTTCAATCATGGTGACACAATAAAGTCTCTAAAGAGACCTGGATATTTCTAGAGGATGTGTCTGGAAGAGGGTGTGGAAGCCTCATCACCCTTCCTCTATATGCCTTACCCTATTCAGCTCTTCATCTGTAACTGCTATAGAAACTAAATGCTTTCCTAAGTTTTATGAGCTGCCTGAGCAAAATAACTAAAGACAGGGGTTGGAGCAATTTTGATTTATAATTCCAGAAATACCGGAAATCTTGGGAATGTAGCCCTCAACCTGTGGGATCTGACACAATAGCCAGGCAGACTGTATCAGAAGTAGATACCTAGTTGGTATTCAGTTGTTTAGAACTGTTTTGTTGTATGGGGGAAAATATATGGTGGCAGAAATGATCTGTTTTGTGAAAGTATAGTAGGAGAAATTAAATTTGAGTTTTTTCTTACTTTTTTTTCTGGTCAGAGCATTACATAAGGGTGTTTCTGTAATATTAGAAAGACATACTAGAAAATGGTGGTCAACATCTTAGAGACTGAGTACCCAAAAAAGAACTCAAAGTTCACTTATTTATCACAAAATGCCAATATTACAATTAAACCTGAATACTGAGGTTTTAGTTTAGGAAAAAAAACCCCAAAACTGTCCAATGCTTGGCTGCTGGGGTGACTGTAGACTTACGTGCGAACAGAGAACGCTCTGTGTGCCCAGGGTAGCACAAGTGCCACAGGTTCACCACCACTGTACTACAATACTAAAAGTGATGGCAGGCACATGCCTGTATTCCCAGTGACCTCGGAGGCCATGACAGGAGGATCACGAAGGCAGCCTGTCCCCTCAGTAGTACACCACTTGCCTGTTATGAGGTCCTAAATTCCACCAAGTATGAGTGAGTTTTAATTTCTTCTCTGTACTTTTCTGTTCTCCCCAAGAAATTTTCAGTAATTAATGCACGATTCAGGTAAGGAAGGGTAAAAGTTACCATCATGCCTCATTTTTTACATTTTAGTTCTTTATATGAATTTTAGCTACTCTGTCTCATACAATTTTAGCTACTCTATATGGCACAATAGTCATTCTTGAGGATACAGCCCTGTCTTTATCTTGATTTACATCTCTTAAGAACAGATGATTTGGAGCTGGGGGTTTATCTCAATGACTCAAGCACCTGCCTGGTAGAGGTGAGGTTGTGAGTTTGATCCATGGTAGCCAAAGGGGAAAAAAAAGAATGGATGACTTGGCAGGGCATGGTGACAAGTGCCTATAATCCCAGCATTCAGGAGGTTGAGGAAGAAGGACTGCTGCCAATTCAAGATCAGCCTGGGCTACACACTGAGTCCAAAGCCAGCCTGAAGTGTTTAGCGAGACCCTGTCTCAAAATTAAAAAAAAAAAAAAAAAAATGGATGATTTGACATAGAATAATTTAAGTCACAACATGTAAGTATTTTGACACCTAGTGGGCAAGGCTTTGAAAATTGCCTAAGATAGGAAAAGCTGGGGTTGTGGAACCTCAGGTCAACTTTCCAAATAGACAACTGGTCTCTTCCTGTCAGAAAAGAGCTCCCTTGTACCTTTCTAGTCGTTCTGACACCAGGTATGTTTGGTTTGCATCCATAATAAATGTCAGCTGGTTAATGAGGTCATCAGGTTGAATGAGACCTTCTAGCCGTCCCACCACAGTCATCCTCCGATCCTTCAGCATAATCATGGCCAGGAATGGATAAGTATTTTCTCGTAAAGCCTGTGAGACTGACAAAAAAACAAGAAATCAAGAGCAGGACTTGAGGATGAAAGGGTCACCCCTTAAGAGTTTCCCAAAGGACAGGGAGGATGTGCTTGTTTTGGCAGCACATATACTAAAATTGGAATGACACAGAGAAGATTAGCATGGTTCCTGACCAAAAGGTAAGAGAAAGGAGAACTGTTTTAATCCTAGCTGGGAAAGAAGGGAAGCATCATTTATTTTCTGCCTATCTTTTTTAGCTCCTAGAGACTTAATGGTCCCTGTGCCCCTAAAACCTAGGTGTGTTTAATTAGAATAGAACAGGCTTTTTTTTTTTTTTTTTGTCTTTTTCCTTTTTATTGGTACCGGGGCTCGAACTCACAACTGCCTGCTTACAAGGCAGGCGCTTATGCCGCTGAGCTAAATCCCCAGCCCCTAGAACAGGCTTTTCTGATGGAATATAGTTGTTATCCTGCTGGGAGAGGTGGCACAGTTCAGAGATAATGCCTACATAATGGTAGGAAAAGGATTTATACAGAATCTGGCTGTTTATTATAGTTCTCCCTATATGAGAGAGGCTTACATCTAAAAAGGGACAAAGTTGCAGGTCTCAGCCTGATGCTACAGGTGATGATCTCCACCATTATTTCTTTTCTTCCTATTGCCTAATCCTTTCCTTACCTTTTTCTCATGTCTATTTGTACCCCTCAAAAGCCTAGCTCTTTGCTCCAAAGGACCTAAGAAAGTTGTTCCTTATGGTATGAAAGAGATTTTATAAATTTCTATGAAAGTATTCTCAAGGCTGGACATGGTGGCACATGCTTGTAATCCCAGCACTTGGGAAGGTTGAGGCGGGAGGATGACTGTGAGTTAGAGGTTAATCTGGGCTACAAAGTGAGTTCAAAGCCAATTTCCTGTCTCAAAGAAAAAAACAACAACCCCAGAAAACTTAAGTCTTTTCTTTCAATACCCACAAGCCCTCAAAACCTTATTTGAATGACAAAATGCAAGCTGTAGGAACTTAAATGTTTAACAAACGAGGGTAAAGTTTTAGATTCCGGGATGCATGGAAAACACTTGCTGCATCTTTGATTCTCAAAATCTTGCACAATGCCAGTTTACATTCTGAGGGTGTTGGACACAAGTAGCTGCAAAAGGACATCTTCATATCTTCTAGTAATTTTTAAAAATACTTATCTCCAATTAAGAGTTATTATTAGCAAAGAATTGAACTTTCTGAATCTGTATCATCACTCAAGAGTACTCAAACAAGAAGCTCTGTTAAAACTGCTGACAAAGAGAATAAATTTTTCAGTAAAAAGTTCATTAAGATCAAAGGCAAGCTGCTAGACTGTGTTAAAAATAAAAGCCTCCTGACAATAGTTACCTATAAAGAATGGGCCTTAGGGGCTGGGGATTTAGCTCAGCGTCATAAGCGCCTGCTTTGCAAGTGTGTGGTCATGAGCTCGATACGCGGTACTGATAAAAAAGAAAAAGACCAAAAAAAAAAAAAAAAAAAAAAAAAAAAAGAATGGGCCTTATAGCCTGTCAAGCCTAATCTTGTTCCAAATTTGCTAGCTGTATAATTTTAGGCCTGGGGCTTAAACTCTCTGAACCTGTTTCCTAAACTGTAAAACAGAGGTAATACAATCCTTATCTTTTGGGGTTACTAAGAAAATTAAATAATATAAAAATTACAATTAGCATCATATCTACCACAGACATGGTCACACATAAAGACTTTCCAAGGTATTTGGACAATCTCAATGAGGCAAAAGAAATAAAACTTACCCCTGTATCCTTCAGGTTTGTTTGTAGAACACGCCCAGAAGAGCATCCTAGTATTTATTAGTGAAATAACTTCAGGTGCACAGAGTGTATTGCTGTGGAAAGGGATGAAAAGGATATTAACAACTTGCTGACTATACCATGTCAGAAAATGTAGAAAAGAAAAAGGTCTAGGTGTGATGAGGCACACCTATACGCCCAGCACTCAGGAGGCTGAGGCAAGAGCATTGCTGCGGGTTTGAGACTAGCCTGGCTACACAGTGAGTTCAAGGCCAACCTGTATTACATAGCAAGACCCTGCCTCAAAAACAAAACAAAAATGAGAAGGCAATGTCAGGCCTGGAAGCCTAGGCTTAATACTTATAATATCATCACTCCAGAGGCTAAGACAGGAGGATCTCCGTGAGCTCAAGGTCAGCCTGGGCTACACAGTGAGACCCTATCTCAAAAAGAGAAGGGCAGAGAGAGAGAGAGAGAGAGAGAGAGAGAGAGAGAGAGAGAGAGAGAGAGAGAAAGAAAGAGACAGAGACAGAGACAGAGACAGAGACAGAGACAATGATCAGCTTACCGACAAAACTCATCAGAGTCCTGGTGGTCATCTCCATGAAGATAAACTAGAAGAAAGCGAAGCTCTCGCTTGGCATCATTAAGTGCCTGTGCAAAACAGAAGACCACAAGTTACTAAAAGACTGTGCCCTGCCCTGAGCTTTCATTTAGACTAAGGATCCTAAAAGATAAAGTTAAATATTTAGGAACAAAAAAAGAAGTAGAAAAAAATGGTGAGAAAGAAATCAGGAAACTTCAGATCCCTTGCATTTTTTCATTATACAAAGTTCATGCTAACAAACTTCAATTAAAATTTTTTAGTTATTAGGATTCATGTTGTATCAGGTACAAGAGAATAGACGAGCTGACACATACAGGTCCCCAGTGAATCACAGAAATGCCAGATGTTCCTAGTCTATAGGAAGACACAGGCAGGAGAATGTGACCATGTAAAAAGTAAGGTGAGCATTCTGTCACTTTAGAGCTACCATTTCCTATAAATAACTAACTGTGAAGATGAGCTAGATTTCAGGCCATATACCAAGCAGGAATGAAGGACTTTGAGACCCAAAGGCAAGGAGTATAGGGTTTAGAAGCTCTCCAAAGATAAAGGTAGTGTCCAGGACTCTTGTATTTCTGCATGGGCATACTCTTGAGCCATCTTACATTTAACATTTCCTGAATGGTCAATGGTGGTTGCTCTCAAAATCAGGGCAAAGAGGGTACATGAGAGGTGCTTATCTGACTCATCTCTGTATCTCTAGCACAAGTGTCTTAATGCCACGTAGTACACACTTTATGTGTTTGTGGCAACAGCCACTGAGGACACTGATTGTGAGATAAAGGGGAAAAGAGAGATAAGAGATATAAAGCAGATGGGGGGAGGGGAACCAAAGCAGAAACAAGGATAAGTATTCTTTGTCCAGAAAGACTGAGAATTTTGGAGGCTGCAGAATAGAATCATCGTCTTTTGCCAATGTGCACAGTGTTAATTCTCTATTTTCCTGTAACAAATTAGAAATACAATATACCTAGCACTCAAAGAAATCTGTTTTTCTCCTGAGAGGTGACTGTCAAAGGTTTGTGTGGCTTAGATTGAATGAATGAACCACACCAAGTCTATAATAGTCTATATTCTCACTCAACTCTGTAAGGGATCAGGAAAGATTTCTACTTTTGCCCTTAAGACATGTACAATCTGGTAAAGCAGATAAGACGTGAACACAAAGAGGAATATGAACTTGTTATGAAAACAAAAAGCTACAGAAGAATGAAAAGGTAAGTATTTTAGATTGCAAGGTAGTACAAGATAAGGCATAACAATCATAATGGTAAGAAAAGGGGAGTGACATGAGCTGGTTGAAGGATGGGCAAGATTCCAATTAGCCAAAATGTAAGGAAAGCATTCCAGGTGGACAGAAGAACAAAAGCTAAGTAAGGTACAAGGTAGGAAAGTAGAGAGTTGTGGGAATGGCTCTGCTGGAACCCAAGGTACAGGGAAATAAGTTATGCAGAAAAGACCTCAAAAGACAGCATTAGATCAAGTATAGTCCAGCTAAAAAGTTTTGTTTCTCCCCTCCCCCCATTGGCAGTGAAGAGTTATTTAAGGTTTCTGAATAAAGGAATGACATGATCAGTGCTGGGCTATGCTTCCCTTTGAGAACAGAATCACAGCAGTTAAGTTGGCATCTATACAGTTTGTGGCACTAACCTGGCTGTACGTTCCCTGGTAGAAGACAGGGTGTGCCCTCCCATATTTCTCTTCAAAAGAGTGCATAAATGAAACAATGTCCCCAATGGGATCAGTGACCCGGCTGCGGGGGTCAGGCCGTATAAAACGAAGAGCAAACCTGGGGAGGAAGGAATAAATATCACATAAATCCATCTTAATGTAGTGCATATGGGGTGGGCCAGTTGTACAGATTCCTATGATAGAGCCAGAGGCAAGGCAGCAAAGGAAGACAAACGGTCTGTGAATGGACCATCAAACCTGACAGTACATTCTGACTCAAAAGCTGCAAAGCTGTAAGTGTTGTTCCACTGCCTGTTAAAGAAGAACAAAAACTACTAAGATTATAAATTCCAACACCAGCCTAAACAAATTGCGTGTTTGAAGGACTAAGAAAGGAGAGATGGAACATTCCCATCACCACGCAATGTTCTATTGGACAATACTGATTGACAAGAGAGATCTTTCTTGTTGTCCACATGCCTCTCCCTCTCCTTTCTGTTCTCCTAGTATTTCAAATTATTAGTTTATACTACCCAAACTCTTCAGGTTAAGGATAGAAACTTCAAACCTGAACTTGTGGTCATGATATACTTCTTCTGTAAACTGGAAAGTAAATTTAGCTTAATGATTTAGGATTTATGGTATCCATGAAGGAAATTATAAAAGAATTCGGGATACACTGGCAGTTTTGCAATAGTGACAGCAGAAAGCATCACTTGATGGTTTCAAATATCTAATTCCTTTTTTTTTAAAAGCATCTATCAGGGCTGAGGATTTAGCTCAGTGGCGTAAGTGCCTGCCTTGCGGCGTGTGGTCATGAGTTCGATCCCTGGTACTGATAAAAAAAATAAAAATTAAAAAAAAAAAAGCATCTATCTATGAAGTGCAGGATGGTCTTGAACTTATACAGCCCAGGCCAGCCTTGAATTTAGTGATTCTCCTGGGTCAGCCCCTCTGAGTGGTGGGATTACAGGTGTGCACCAACACACCCAGCTAAATATCTATTCCTTAACAGTCCATTCTACCATATTTGTATAGCATCATTTCTTTAGGCTTTGAGTGTCCATGGAAGGCAAGGGGGCAGAGGTCAATGTGCTTCAAAACATTAAATAAACTGCCTGACTGATACAGCTGCATTAAAATTAGTAATACACACCATGCATATTTTCCCAAGGAAAGCAAAAAATATCCATTTACTTGAATTTTCAGCACAGAAACGGTTATCTAAACTATGACACTTTCCTTATAAAATCTCGAGACAGTTCATTAACCCCTCAACAAATTCCCCACGTGTATATTAATACACTTGGAACTTCTGAGTAATTAAGCCAAATTCATTGACAAATATTCCAGAGCAAAATTTTTAAAAATGTAAGAAATTGTACATATGGCAAAACAGTTAGAAATCTTTCACAAGAATAGTTTGATTACTTTCTGTCTAGGATTATCTCTTCGAGTTTTCAGAAATGACTAAATTTTGAGGAATGAGTAAAAATTTCAACTTGTTTTTCACTACAATAAATTCATTAGCCAATACAATTTTGGAAGACATATCAATTCAATCTTCATTAAGTTTTAAAGGTTTTTATGTACCCACTTCTACATAAAACAGGGTAACAAAGAATACTGAGGGTTCCATTAAGAATTTTACTAAAGCAAGGAAACCAATTAAGAGGCAGTGGAAAGTATTATTGGAGCCTCGAACTTCTGGAACTGCTAGGTTCTCACTTCTGCCTCATAGTTGAAGGTAGGTGCAGACAGTGTGGAAGTCAAGGCACAGACCACCACATCTTTAGCTCTACCTGCTGGCCTGGATGCCCATTAACATTTTACTTCCCCAGAAAGCCTCTGTGTGGCTGTAAACTGTTATCAAGCCTGATCTGCCATGATGTCAGGCTCCTTTGAACATTTCCTAGCCTTGAACCCTCTGTAGCTTCCAATGAGAAGCTATTTGAATGGTACACGAAGGAAGCTAGAAATTGAAGGTATGAAGCAAGCCAGTATGCACCAGGAAGGATTCCAGTGTCAGCAACACAGGGGTTGCCAGGGCAGAGGGACAACAGGCTGTCGAGAGATGCACCTATGGTGGGAGAAATCTAGGGCAATGTAGGTAACTAACAGCAAGAGAATTTACTGGGATTGCGAGTATTTACATGGCGAAGAAGTGTTTTAGGGCAAAAGTTTTAAGGAGTGGGAAGTCAGGAGACAACTTTCTAGAAAGCTCCTGGTTCGAAAGCAAAGCATGTGGACATTAGGAATGTAGAGGTGATAAACATGGAAGAAAGGGGGTTTCCAATAAATGTAGGCAGAATTGATCTTTGCAATAGGCATGAATAACTGAAAACAACTCCATCTTATAATACCCGCTACTGTGTTTGAACTTAAGCTACTCTGTGATTATTAGTACATAAATACAGAGATACATACCTAAATATATCAAGTATTGTGTAATATGTAAACCGGAATGGAAGCATTATCAAGTAATAACCCCATCCGAGCAGCCCCTGAAATATCAAAAAAACAAAGTTAGGGATAATTCTTGCCACCTCTAATATATTACCAAATGGATATATTAGATTTTCATACTTTTTTTGACAAGTCATCTAACTGTTTCTCCATAATATAGTTCTCTCTTACTGGTTACCTTATCCTTCTTAAAAGCTACTACTCTCTTTGGTCACATTTCATCCAATATTATTAATTCTCTTCATATAATTTGTCTTGAATCTCCTTGAATGCTTTTCTTGCTGCTCATTATTATACTATTTGTCAAAAATTCAACTGCAAATTTACTCAACTGCAAAAATACTCATTTTTTTCTTCTTTAGAGTTACACATCTAAAGATATGGTACACAGAAAAAGAAGTAAAGATAATAACTTTTACTACCTTGGACATATGTATATAATTGATAAGGAGATAGGTTGGGGTAGTGCATACCAGTACTCCCAGTTTTAAGGCCAGGAGTGGTGGCACATGCCTGTAATCCCAGCACTCAGGAGGCTGAGGTTGAGGCAGGAGGATTCCTGTGAATTTGAGGCTAGCCTGGGCACAGATTTCACAGCCAGCCTGGACTGCACAGTGAAACCCTCTCAAAAAAGCAAAAAAAATTGTAAGTTTTAAACTGCATGTTATTCAAAATAGAATGATGAAACCTCTGCTGTCCTGTTCTGTCTCACTCAGAAGACGGATTATTCTTTTGTCCAGGCCAGTGCTACCTGCTCATTAGTCATTTCGTAGCCATTTTGATTATCAGATAGGCTGTCACGGTAGTACATGCTTGTACTCAAGTAACCCTTACTTTACTTAATAATACCCACAGAACAGAAAAGAAAGGATGCTGATTCAGATATACCAAAGAGAAATCATCCAGTATTCCTTTAAGTGAAAACATAAAAATTCTTTTTTTTTTCTTAAAAAAAAAAAAAAAAAAATCACGAGAGGCCAGAGATTTAGCTCAGCGGCATAAACGCCTACCTTGCAAGTGCATGATTGTGAGTTGGATTCCAGGTACAAAAAAATCAATCAATCAATCATGTGAAGTTGCTAAGGTCTATGGTAAAAGCAAATCTTTTATAAAACTGTGATGTAAAAATAAATCTTTTCTAATTCTGTTGTACCTCTAATTGCAAAGTTACAGCCACAGTACATAAGTGCTTATTGGTTTTTTTAGGGGACAAGGTTGGTTTTGTTAAGACAGGGTCTCACACCATATAGTCCCGGATGGCCTTGCATTTGTGGTGGGATTACAAGTGTGTACCACCACACTCAACTTACTCAACTCTTATTTTACTCATCAGCATGGTCTTGCTATGTTATTGTACTTTCATTCTTTACTTATTGTTGTGGTTTAGATAAAAAAAATGTTTCCCTAAAGTCTCATGTATTCAGAGGTAGGGCTTTTGGAAGAAGAATGGATCATAGGGACAATACAGTCATCAATGGATAACCTGTTTCACCTCCTCTAACTACGCCCTACCTCCTAAAGTACAATAGGTGGGGCCAGATTGGACCAGGTAGGTGATGGAGGCGGTGTACTTTTATTCCTCTCTCCGATCTCTCTCTCTCTCTCTCTCTCTCTCTCTCTCTCTCTCTCTCTCTCTCTCTCTCCCTGCTCTCTGCTTCATGGCTATGATGGGATGAATAGCTCTCCTCAGTTATGCTCCACCAGGATGTACCCTTTGAGCAGATCATGGACTGAACTCTATGAAAGCACAAGCCAAAATGAAACATTTTCTCCTTTAACTCCTCTAACATTAAAAGAAGTATTTTCTTAAAATTCTAACTGTAGCTAGGTGCGGTGGTACATATTTATAATGCTGGCATTTGGGAAGCTAAGCCAGGACTGCTATGAGTCCAACCTAGGATAGTGAGTTCAAAGCTAGCCTGCATTACACACAGACCATGTCTCAAAAAAAAAAAAAAAAAAAGATTCTAAATACAAATGTAAGAGGTTAGTGTAAGCTCAAAAATAAGAAACTCCAAGAAGTTCTTTGGAGTTCATTATTAATATACACAGATCTAGCTGGGCATGGTGGTGCTCACCTGTAATACCTGTATCACTTCCCTACCACTACTTCACTCTTACTTCCCTAACATAGCCATATTAACAATTTCTTTTGATTCTTTCCAGATTTTCTTATGGGAGTCTGAAACAGGTTTTAGGCCACGTGGTAATTAGTGTGCAGATCTCTCAAAAAACTAGGATTAGAGGTTCCATTTGACCAAGTCATTCTCTTCCTGGGTATCTTCCCAAAAGAATTAAAAGCATCATACCACAGTGATGAATGCACATTTATTTTTATAATGGCACAATTTGTAATAGCCAAATCTTGGAAACAGCCTAAGCACTCTTCAACTCATGAATCGATAATGGGGATTTTCTAAAAAAAAAAAAAAAAAAAAAAAAAAAAAAAAAAAAAAAAAGATGTAGTTTTTTTGTTTGTTTTGTCTTTTTCATTTTTATCGGTACCAGGGATCGAACTCACGACTGCCTGCTTGCAAGGCAGGCGCTTATGCCACTGAGCTAAATCCCCAGCCCCAAAGATGTGGTTTTTTATACAGTGGAGTTCTACTCTACCATGAAGAAGGATACACGTAAGACATTTCTAGGAAAACAAATGCACCTTGAGTCCATACTCCTTAAGTGAAATACATTAGACACGTGTAAATAAATACCCACTGTTTTTCTGGTATGAGAAACCAAAAGTGTACATAAGGACCAAAATGTATAATAAATATTATGAAATAGGAAGAAAATGTTCAAATAGGAAGGGGAACAAAGGAGAGGGGAAGAAGGAGGGAAAAGTAAAAAAAAGAGAAAAAAGAAGGAAAACATTGAAACAAAACTGTGTGAATGTGAAAAGGAGAAACAGTTGAAGGGAGAATACAGGAATAGGAAAAAAAACAAGTTATATCATGTACAGATACAAATTCTCTATGATGAATGTGATCATTATGAGTATCTAAAATGTACCAAAAAAATCTAATTAAAAAAACAAATAAAATAGGTTGCTAGGCCAGTCATGGTGGCACACACTTGTAATCCAAGCATTTGGAAGGCTGAGGCACAAGGATCACTAAGAGTTCGAGGCCAGCCTTGGCTACAATAGTGAGTTCAAGGTCAGTCTGAACTACATAATGTGGTGCACGCCTATAATCCTAGCACTTGGGAGGCTGAGGTAGGATAATCGTTGCAAGTTTGAGAGCAGCCTGGGCTACAAAGTGAACCAAGGCTAGCTTGAACTGCATAGCAAGATCCTGTCTCAAAAAGACAAGAACACGGGGGCTGGGGATTTAGCTCAGCGGCATAAGCGCCTGCCTTCCAAGCAGGCAGTTGTCAGTTCGATCCCTGGTACCGATAAAAACAAAAAAGACAAAAAAAAAAAAAAAAAAAAAACAAGACAAGAACAACAACAACAGAAACATAATCCTACATAGTGAGACCCTGTTTTAACCCTGCCACCCCATAGTTGTTCAGTATACACAGACCTAATCAGACTGAAAAATTAAATTTGAAATGGGAAGGGTAGTTTGGGGAGGGGGTGAGGAGGTTACTGGTTACTGAAATAAGGGACGCCCTACCACAGTTACATCTCCATCCTTTTTTATTTTGAGATGAGGTTCTACTAACAACTTGCTTAGGCTGGGCATGAATTTGTGTTTTCTGTCTCAGCATCCTAAGCAGCTGGCACTACCAGCATGCATCATTTAACTGGTCTTTTGTCTTTAGATCCCCAACAACAAAATTATCAGGTAACTGGAATGCTTGGTTTTGTTTTTTTGAGATGAGTTCTTGCTATGTAAATCAAGCTAACCTTGAACTCACTATAGAGCCACAAACTCACTGTGCCTCAAACTCGCTGTGACCCTTTATACCTGTTTTGGAGTACCCTTAAATGCCTGTTAAGTTTAAATGAACTACCTTTTTGCCACTATACCTTCAAAACTAAATTCAAGGGGCTGGGGATTTAGCTCAGCGGCTTAAGTGCCTGCCTTGCAAGCAGGCAGTCGTGAGTTTGATCCCTGGTACCAATAGAATTTTAAAAATTAAAAAAAAAAAAAAAAAAAACTCAAAAACTAAATTCAAAGGTGTGGAGAAGACCCCAAAGATTCTATGTACTTTTTTTTCCATGTATTTTTTCAAAGTAGCTAAAAGTACACTGAAGCAACAAAGAACTCAGTCAACAAATTCTAATTTAAAAGTGGGAGATCTATCAAGCGGGTTGTAAACATTTTAGATTTGTAAACTAACCTATCCAGATACCCAAAAAAACATGGCACAGCAAGAATGATTCAACTGAGTTGGGTGTGGTGGTTTACACCTGTAACAGGCATTTGGGAGGCTGAGGCAGGAGGATCGTTGTGAGTTCGAGACCAGCCTGGGCTACGAAGTGAGCTCAAGGCCAGCCTGAACTGCACAGTGAGACCCTGTCTCAAAAAGACAAAAGAAATTAAAAAAAAAAAAAGAATGATTCAACTAATAGGCAAAGAGTGAAAAATGAGGCCAGGTGCAGAGGCACACAACTATAATCCCAGCTACTTGGGAGACCAAGAAAGGAGGACCACAAATTCAAGGGTACCCTGATCAATTAAGCAAGATCCTGTCTCCAAACACAAAAGGCTGGATGTTGCTCAGTGCACAACTGGGTTTGATCTCTAGTACTGGGGGAAGGAGGTTAATTCTGAACATTTCTTTCACTCCAGTCATACACAGATCACTATAAATAAGTGAGTTGAGTGCATAAAATAACAAAGAGGAAGTTCCAGCTTCAAAATGACTTACCCTTGGTTGTGGTCTTGAGACAACATAGCTGTAGATCCTGTGATCAGCTGTATTAACCTGTAGGGGTCGGGAAGGAGGTGGATTGAAAACACTTGGTACACCTTCCTGCTCATTCAGTCTGTCTTGTACAGCAGCCTGAGAAGGAAAGAAGAGTTAGTAAGTTTTAGTGATACTCAAATCAATCCAGAAGAGATGAGGAAACTACTGTTTTGACTCTCGAAACAGGGAGATCATTATATAAAGGCATGTGTATTTTTTTGTACCCGGGATCGAACTCAGGACCTCACACTTACCAAGCAGGTACTTGTGCCACTGAGCTAAACCCTTGGCTCACCTGAGTATATTTTTAAGGATTTTTTTTTTTTTTTTTTTTGTCTTTTTCCCAGTACCGGGGATCGAACTCACGACTGCCTGCTTGCAAGGCAGGCGCTTATGCCGCTGAGCTAAATCCCCAGCCCCTTTTAAGGATTTTTTAACATGTTGTCCTGAGAGGCACTAAGAATTCACATACAAGAGATAAACTTATATGGAAGGTATACCAATGAAGCAAGCATACTGTTTTTATTAGACAGATGTATATATATATTGCTTCACTAGAAAATAAGATGCTTCACTCTATAATCCCAAGACAAGCTACAGTGTGAAAATGTGGAAAGGGGCCCTGGAGTTGTACACTAACGCAGTCCTGATAGTTGATGTCTGACAGAGAGCTAGAGCATACAGAAACGTAAGTCTGAATCCTAGTACCATCACTTACAAGAACTGTTCAACTTAGCCACAGGCTCTGCATATGCAAGATGAACAATAATGCTCAGAATTGATAAAAACTCTAATACAACTTCTGGAAGGTCACTAGTACTTGTTTTTCTTATTTTTTTTCTGGGGGTAAGTGGGTATTTTTGAGATGAGCTGTGCTGAGCTGAGCTGAGCTGAGATCTCTTATGCAGTTCAGGCTGGACTTGAGCTCACTTTGTAGCTACAAACTTCCAACAATCCTTGTGCCTCAGCCTCCTGAGTGCTGGAATTACAGGTGTGTGCCACCACACCCGGCCAAGTACTTGGCTTTTTAAAGAAACTTTATTCTTTTCTTATCTCACCTCTGTCGCTGAAAACTGCTATTTGTCCCAGGATATGAAAAACTTGGCCATACGTGAAGAAATGCCCGGAAAGTACTCTATCTCACACCTAACAGGAGTACTATATTATTACTGCACTATAGTTGGCACTTTTTCACTCAAAAGTTTTAGGTTGGTAACTAGCCACGTCAGAAAGGCCAACTATGTGATTTAAAGCGGGGATATGAACTGGTTTATGGTGCTTTATGTCTGTAATCCTAGCACTGGGGAGACTGAGGCAGGAAGATCTCTGAAAGTTTAAAGCCAGCCTAAACTATATAGTGGACCTTGTCTCTAAAACCAAACCAAACACAAGGAATTTGAGGCCAGTGTGGTAGTACATACCTATCATCCTATCAGGCTAGGAAACTGAGGCAGGAAGATCCCAAGTTTGAGTCAAGCCTGGGCAATTTAGTAAGAGCTCATCACAAAATAAAAGTTAAAAAAACAAAGTTGGGCATGGTAGTGCACACCTATAATCCCAGCACTTATGAAGAAGTTAAAGCAGGAGGACTATTATGAGTTGGAGGCCAGCCTGGAGTTCAAGGCCTGAACTGCATAGTGAAACCTTGTCTCAACAAACAAAAGTAATACATCGTGACTCCATGAAAGAAGATGAAAGAAGAGTGTGGAAGTTTTCTAGTGCAAACCGTTTAGAGGTCGCTGCTTTAGTTGATTTCATCTATACCAGGTTCTCTGTAATTAAACTGTAAATTAAATTAAACTGTAACTATGAATGTAACAGCTTTCAGTGAGTTCTCTAATCTGAGGGTGGTTTTGTAATGTCTCTAAACACATATGTAAATCAGTGTCAGGATGACAGTGACAGGAGGGGTTTAGCTCAGTGGCATAACTACATGCCTGAAAAGTGCAAGGCTGTGAGTTGAATCCCACTACAAAAAAAAAAAAAAAAATCACAGTGACCTCTGGGAAAGCTACATGCCCTCTAAATTTGACAGCTGGCTTCAAATTTTGTAGTATGCCTAATTCTAGAAAGCCCTTTAATTTTACAATTCAATGAAGAAAGAATAATCTTCAATAAATGGTGCTGGGATTTACAAGGAAAAAAAGGTGAACCATTGGGCTATGGTGTCTTTCCTTGTGATAGCCCGTCCTGCATCTTCCAGGATGTACTTTTATCCTACTTTTTCCTCTTTTACCTGGCCCACATTTGCTCTGCAGAGCCAGGTCTCCCTTACTGCTTTACTTTTTCAAATAAACTTTGCTACCATTAAAAAAAAAAAAGTTGAACCCACAGAAACTAACTCAAACTATGCCAAAGACTCAAATATAACACTAAAATTATAGAAATTTTGTTTTTTGAGACAGGGTCACTCTCTATAGCCCAGCCTGGCCTTGAACTCACTGATCCTTCTGCCTCAAGTTTCCTAAGTGCTGGAATTACAGGTGTATACCACCTGCTGGCTTAAACTTCTTAAAAAGAAAACAAGGGTACTAATGTTGACGATCACGGATTAGGCTATGATATTTTAGATATGATACTAAAGGCATAAGCAACAAAACTGTATTTCACTAAAAATAAAAACTTCTGTGCATCAAAGGACATTATTCAGAAAGTAATTCAGGACTCTAGAGCCTGACACATATGAATTTGAGGCCAGCCTGGGCTACATATGAGCTGAAAACCAGCCTGAACTATGTATAAAGACCCTGACTCAAAGAACCAAAAGACAGAGAGTCAGGCATGGTGGCACACACCTGAATTCCCAGGACTCAAGGGGCTGAAGTAGGAGGACTGCTGCAAGTTCAAGGCCAGTCTGAACTACAAAGCAACACTATCTCAAAACAAAAATGAACAATCTCAAATGACAACTCACAGAATGGGAGAAAATATCTGTAAGTCATATTTCTGATAAGGATTTAGTATCTGGACTATATAAAGAATTCTTGTACCCATGTGTGGTGGTGTAGTCTGTAAAGCCAGCTACTTAGCAGGGCAAGACAGGATTATCATGATTCAAGGTCAGTCTGAATAAATTAGCAAAATCCTGATTTTAAAAAAAAAAGAGAGAAGAGAAAAGAAAAAGGAATGTAGCTATTAGGAACATGCAAATCCAAACCAAAATAAAACTGGCCAGTGAAGCGTGCTGGTGGTGGAGCATACCAAGCTGCCTATCACTTGGGAGGCTGAGACAGGATCACAGATTTTTGAGCCCAACCTGGTAATTAAATAAATTATAATATAATTAAATAAAACCTGGTAAATAACTTGGTGATTTAGTGAGACACTGTCTCAAAATAAATATAGGGAGGTGGTGAAGGCCCTTGATCTCCAGCACCACAAAAAGTAACAACAAACTGTCATGATGGTTGTGTAAGTTTGCAAATATACTAAAAACCATTGATTTCACATTACAAATACATAATTTGTTTAGCACTGAATTATGTATCAATAAAGCTTTTTTTAAAAAAAATGTGATAGCACAGCATCTGCCAGTTATAAAATTAGAACTCTGAAGCAAAAATTAGAATTTTGGAAAACTAGTATTTACCACTGTGAGGTTAACAGTTTCCTAAAACTTAAAAGACTTTTCTGATGAGTTTAGTAGTGTTATTAATGAATATTAATTTAGTAAAATGTACAGATATTAGAAAATCTGTAATTCAGTAAACATTTTCCAAATAACCAATGCATGAAGTTATGACATCATAAAAGATTCAGAGCGCAAGGCAGACATTTTTTTTTTTTTTTTTTTTTGTTACTGCAAATGAAATACAGGGCCTTGCAGTACAATGCCAGGCAAGTGCTCTATCACTGAGCTACAGTCCTTCAATCTCTTAATGTACTAGAGATTGAACCTAGGGCTTTCATACTAGCCTACAGCTCGAGTCATATTTTGTAATAGTTTTATTTTTTAAATTCTAAAATAAGGTCTCAATAAATTGCTAATTTGCCCAAATCTCTTGCCTCAACTTTCTAGAGTGCTGAGATTACAAGGTGTGCCCTACTATACCTAGTTTATTTTTATTTTTGAAACAGCTTGGTTCCAAATTGCTAAAGTTGGTCTCAAATTTGTAATTTTTCTGCCTCGACTCTTGAAAAGCTTGCTTAAATGTTTTAATGATAATAAGTTTACTTTTTCTTTTGGTGGCAGTGGTGACAGAATTTAGGGCCTTGTATAGGTCCTCAATCATTGAGCTACACCCTAGCCATAGTTCTTTTTATCATTTACTTATATTTTTTTTGGTGCTGGAAATCGAACTCAGGACCATTCACTTGCCAGGCAATGTGGGCAACCACCCAAATGACTCTCCTTGAAAAGAAGAGCAATTATGTCCAATTTGGATAAACTGGGCCCTATCTCCATATACTAATATGTACAGAGCTGGGTAGGCTATTTCCTTGTCCCTTCAATTGACTTTAAGCTGTGTAAATTGGGCTAGCTGACGAGCTGAAGTGTAATCTCTGAAGTAAAGTGACAGGTCAGTGTTACCCCGCCTTGTGACTCCCCAAAAATGTGGTTGAACTGGGCCAGATGGAGAGCCGTGCTCCATGCTACCAGCTGGGACTGAGCCTTGGGAAACAGGCCAATGACTTCCCAGGGCAAAAAGGATTGTATATCAGAACTGAACTCAAATTATTAGGTACTACCTCAGTTGTGTTATGCAGATTGCTCTCTCTACATTTCTTGTCCTCTGCTTATTGCAAAGGTGACCTCAGACTTCCTATCTAGCCCAGCTCATGGTAGTCATGGCAGTCATATTTACTGACACTCTGTCATACATCCCTGAGCCACATGCCTCATGGAAAATTACTAAAACCTGGATTGGGCTCTGGGCGAGGCCTTTGCTCTGGTGAACATATGTCTTGCTGATCTTAGGATCCCTTAGCTCTCCACAACTGTATATATGTCTTAGCATATTTATTCTCACCTTGGGTTGTACTGAAAATGGCAGATTGGAATTAACTCATTAGAATTCCAGTAACTTTTTAGGATTACAAATATATATCTTCCTGAGGATGGGAAAGGGTCTTTTATAAGGTGCTGTAACACTGAGCTATATTCCCAGCCTTAATTTTTTTTAAGTGAAGGAATAAATTTTATAACCTATATAAACTGAAATGCCAGTTTTCTTGGGGAGAACTGCTGGTCTACATGCAGAAAATACAATACTTTTTTTGTTCTGTTTTTGTGGTGCTGGGAATAGAACCAGGGCTCTATACACTGAGCTTTATCTTCAGCGTTTTTAAAAGTTTTTTGTTTGTTTGAGACAGGGTCTCACTGTGTAATGAGGCTGGCCTTGAACTCATGGTGATCTTCCTGCCTCAGTCTCCTGAATGCTGAGATTATAGGCATGCATCACCACATCTGGCTTTTTTTTTTCTTTTTTTTGAGACAGGGTTTCACTAGGCAGTTTAGGCTGTCCTTGCACTCACTATGTAGTCCAGGCTGGCCTCAAACTGTAGGGGATTCTCCTGCCTCAGGTCTTGAGTGCTAGGATTATAGATATTTGCCAGTATGTCCAGCTAGGCTTAGCATTTATTTCTATTGTGGGAAAACATTCATGCTATGGAAAAATATGTTTTTGGATGTAAGAGCAGAGAAAAGAAATAAGCTTAAAATGAATCCTACTATACTATACCTCTATGTTCCAGTTATGCTGTTCCAGGGTATGGCGGCACTGATCCATAGATTCTATGCCAGTCAGGTCCTGGGAGAAAGGATAAAAAGTTACTTAGAAAAAAACCAACAGATTTTATAGTGGCACAGTTTGTAATAGCCAAATCTTGGAAACAACTCAAATGCTCATCAACTTGTGAACAGATAAAGATATGGGGTTTTTAATACAATGAAATACTACTCTGTCATAAAGGACATGCTCAAGACAGTTCTAGGAAAATGGACACATCTTCAGTCCACATTCTTAAGTGAAATAAATCAGATACATGTAAATACCACGTATAAATAAGGACCAATATATGTTACAGATATTGTGAAACAGGAGGAAAATGTTCAAATGGGGAGGGGAACAAAGGAGGAGAAAGGAAAAATAAATAAATGAAAGGAAAACATGGAAACAAAGCTTTTATAAATGGGGAGGGGGAGGGGCTAAAGGAAGGAGAGGGACGTTGAGTAAAAAGAATCAAGTATATCATGTACAGGTACAAATTATTTATGATAATTGTGATCATTATGCTATCTAAAATGTATCAATAAAACCTAATTTAAAAAGTCCAACAGAGTTGATATGGGACTTTTACTTCTAGTAGACTTCATGTAAAATGTTGAAGGCAGAGATTAAAGTATGGTTAATGCTGACTGATTACAAATTTAGCTACTCAGCTATATGAAACATACACATATTTTAAAAAATGCTTCCTCTGAAAATTTCAATTGAAGAGGACTACTAATTAAAATCAGTATTCTTTCAAATTTAAAAAAAAATAAGATTCCTTCAGTCTCTCGGTCTAGCCAACGATTGCTCTGTTTATAGAATATACTGTGGTTTTCCTGCAAAATACCACGGCTTTTGTCATGTTATTTATCTAATGGTATCCAATTAGCTCAAAATGGAAATGATGTAAAGTTTTCATGAAAAGGAATCTGTAATAACATGTGCTTTGCCACCCTTCTCTCACTGTACCAAGCTAACATCTACCCTGACCGAACCTCCTTCTCTACCTTTTCTACCCCTCTAAATGTAGGCAGTTCCCTAAAGATGTGTCCTTGATTTGCTTCTCTTAATCTACTGTCTTGACATGTTTAGGTCAATCCCTAGCCTTCAAAACCCTTTTGATATAGATGATTTCTAATTTAATCCCTGGACCCACTTCTGAATTCAGCAGCACATTTCCAGGAGCCTATCCCAGTACCCCAAATCTTTCATTTTAAACTACTCTGTTAGTGACACCATTACCTTCCAAAATATCCAGGCAAGGGTAAAATCTAAAGCCTCAACCTCATCTCAGAGCTCCACACTTCATGAGTAATCAAATTCTAACAACTCATTTTTTATTCTATCTTATATCAATAACCATAGTTCCATTTATGTGTGTGTGTGTGTGTGTGTGTGTGTGTCTTTCTGAGACAGGGTCTTGCTATGCAGATCACGCTGGCCTTGGGCTCACTTTGTAGTTTGGGCTGGTCTCGAACTTGCAAACAATTCTCCTGCCTCAGTCTCCCAAGTGTTGGGATTACAGGAGCGCGCCACCATGCACAGCTCACAATTCCATTTTCATGGCCAGAGTCTTTTTTTTTTTTATCGGTACCGGGCATCGAACTTGCGACTGCCTGCTTGCAAGGCAGGCGCTTATGCCGCTGAGCTAAATCCCCAGCCCTTTGGCCAGAGTCTTGAATTACCTTTTTTTGGGAGGGATACAAGGTCTCACTATATAGTTCAGGCTGGCCTTGAATTCACTATGTAACCCAGATTGGTCTCAAACTGTTGGTGATCTTCCTACCCTGGCCTCCTGGGTGCTGGTAAGACACGCATGCATCACCTTCCTCCTTCTCCTTTTCCTTTTTTTCCTGGTCTTTTTGAGACAAGGTTTCATTATAAGGTTCGGGCTGACCTTGAACGCCCTTTGTATCCTCAGTCTCCGGAGTGCTAGGATTGCAGGTATTCAACATCATGTTTGGTCTCTATGTTACTATTTCTGCGTAATGTCTAATACTAAATCTAAAAATTCATGTGCACTTCTCCTGTCCATAAATTCCACAGAGCTAAACTCTAGCCTTCCTTCAAGACCCAATACAAAACCATATACTTCTCCTTAGCCATTCACCCTTTTTTATTTAACAAATGTTTACTGTATGCTTCTTCTGTTTATTACTATGTGCAAACTCTAGAGAGATGTTTTAAGACAGTCTCTATCCTTATGAAGCTCCTCTTAGGTAGCAACCACGGGGACAAAGAGATGGATCTACAAAAATGTGGCAGAGCACCCAGGTTTTCTATAAATTACCACAAAATCTCACTGTGTATGATGAAAATGTGGGGTTGGATTTTTTAAGATGGTGAGGAAACAATTCAGAACTTTTTGTATGCTAGGTAGGCACTCTACTACTGGTCTACACTTCCAGCTAGACTGGGGTTTTGAAACTTCAAATGTTTTGATTAAATACCAGGCTGCTGCCAAGCCTGGTGGGACATGCCTGTAATCCCAGCACTCAAGTGGCCTGAACTACACAGTGGGATCCTGTCTCAAAAAAAACAAAACAACCACCCCCCCAAAAAAAAAAACCACACACACACACACACAAAACCAGGCTGGTTGACAGCAGTTTGCGATCAGTTTAGAAAGGGATGAAACCCAGAATGTAATTTTTGTTTTAGTTTTATATTTGTTTCGTTTTTTTAAAGTTCTCAGCTGATTCTAATGCACAGGAAAACTCATGGTATTAATGTACAGTCCTAACTAGGAACAGAGCTTTTGCATACTGGACTTTGAACCTTAGTCTCTGCACATGCTAGGGGAAACACTCCACCCTGGAGATCCATCCTCAGGTCTGGAACAATATTTTAAATCTCTTATTAAAATAATTTTTTAAAAGGGGCATATGGTGGAGTGTGGCAGTGTATGCCTACAATCCAAGTTTTCAAGTACTTGGGAGGCTAAGGCAAAAAGATCAGGAGTTTAAGGTTAGTCTGGGATACACAGAGAGATCCTGTAAATAGTATGGGAGGATTATAAATACTATAGGAGACAATAATCAGTAATTACACAACTGAAAATTGACATACTTAACCTAATTTGCATGCGAAATCCTTTTATAAGTAGTGGCACAGTTGAACAGGAAGCCCAACTGAACAATCCTGCTTATAATCACTACTCATCAGTATTAAAACCATACATAAGCAAGTGACACACCTAGGCCAGGATTATTCTTTAATCAACATATATTCCTTGATCCAGTATTCTACAAATCCAGAATACAGAATAGTCCTGTGCTCTAAAGGTATATTTGAAGGCAGAAAAGATGGTATCCACTTGGGAGGTTGGGGCAGAAGGATCACCCAGAGTTTGATCCTAGCCTGGGTACAAGTGAGTTCAAAGCCAGCCATAATTATATAGCAATACCTTGTCTCAAAAAATAACAAACGAACAAGAAATCTGAACCTAGCCTGGGAAACTTGGTAACTTAGTGGGACCCTGTCAAAATTTTAAAAAAGGCCAGGCGTGGTGGTGCATGTCTGTAATCCTAGTACTTAAGAGGCTAAAGCAGGATTGTTGCAAATTAGAGACCAGCTTGGGCTAGGAAGTGAGCCCAAAGCCAGTGTGAATTGCATAGCAAGACCTTGTCTTAAAAGACAAAAATTTAAAAAGGACTGGAGATGTAGCCCAGGGCAAAAGCCTTGGTTCAATTTCCAGTAGGGCCAAAAATGAAACAAAACAAACCACACAACAAAATCTGAGACTAACCAAAACAAACCACACACACTTAGTAGGCAAGTAAACAGAATTTTATTATGTTCGTGGAGTCCTTTGGATTGGATGCTCATGGGGGAGGGCACTTCTCAAGGAGATAATATTGGAGCAGGAATGTGAATAAAAAATGGTGATGGGAGTGCCAACCATGGAGAAATCTGTTATAGATAGAACAACAAATGCAAAATTCTGAAACAAATGATATGTGATACTATGTGTTTATCAAAACCTACAGAATACTCTAAGTGGAATAAATTAAAGAACAAAAATTAAAGCTGGGTGTGCTGACACATGCCTGTAACCCCAGAATTTGGGAGGCTGGGGCAGGAGGATCACTGAGAGTTTGAGACCAGCCTAGGCTACAAAGTGAACTCAAGGCCAGCCTGAACTGCATAGAGAGCCCTTGTCTCAGAAAGACAAAATAAAACAAAAAAATAGAGGTGGCCAGAGGGTCCACAAATGGAACACAGCCTGTGATGAAAGAATCCAAATTTATTACAAATATATGGAACACTCACTAAGGAAGGTAAGCAAAAAGGTGCTACCTAAGTAACCTTGGAAATAAGTGTTTATAAAACTAAGGTCCACAGATAACCACTGTTCTCTGGTGGTAAGAGTTACTTTCCATATCTGTGTATGTACACTGGAACTAAACAATTAAATAACTAAATAATTTGAACTCATTTTCTCACCATTGAAGTGGGAGATTGGAGGCTAGATTGATCCATGAAGTATTGAGCTGCAGACATCTGCATGGACTCATGTAAGTTATTAATATAAGTATAAATAGTTACATATAGAACATTCTTTTTTTCTTTTTGCAACACAGTGTCACTATGCAGTTCAGGGTGGCCTTAATCCTACTATGTAGCCCAAACTGGCCTTAAACTCACAGCAATACTCTTGCCTCAGCCTCCAAATACTGGAATTAAAGGAATGTGGAACCATACATACCTGGCCATGTAGAACACACACATGTCTTTACTCTGTCAGCTGAGAGGGCATACAAGCAACACATGCCAGAAAATAACAAGTGTACTCAATGCCAAGATCTTGTTTTTTATTTTTTGAGAAAGAATCTCCCTATGTAATTCAGGCTGGCTTTAAACTCACTATGTAGCCCAGACTGGTGATCAACAGCAACATCAACAGTGATAAATGCTATTGAAGCACGTATATACTTGTAAGATGATGTAATAAAAACCAGTGCTTGAATTCCCTGGTTTGTTCTCCTCCAAACATCATCAGATAAAATTCAGATAGGGGACAGTCTACAAAGTAC